CAGCATGGCCTGCAGCTTGCGGCTGAAGGCAGGTGTGGCTCCAACCCTGTCTGGTCTAGCTATGTGTCGATGGTGCAATTGAAGTCCCTGCCCATGAGCAGCAGGTCATTGCTCTTGCTGGTGTCATGCAGTAGGTCACCCAGGGTCTCTAAGAAGGCTATCCACTCCCTCCCCTTGGTGGGCACATAGACATTTACAAGGAGTAGGCTCTGGTGTGCCAGGGTGATGTGGACGGTCAGCAGCCAGCTGGGGACAACCTCTCGTGCCACCAATGAGTCATACTGCAACTGTGGCAAGAGGAGGGTCGCCACCCCAGCACTGAGGTTGATACCGTAGCTTAGAAACAAGCGGCCTTTCCAGGCAGTGTGTCAGTCGGCTTGATCATACACGTCACTGTGTGTCTCCTGGAGGAAGGCGATCGCCAACTGCTTCTGCCGCAAACCCTCCGGGATAGTGTCCGCTTCACTGGGTCCCTGCATCCATTGGTGTTCAGTGAGGCAATTGTAGTAGCAGCCATGAGCAGAATAGAGAGGAAGGATAGGCAGGGTATAGGCAGAGAGCAGGCGATAAAGCAGGGCAAAACCACCGAGACAGGGGAAGGCCTATCCTTGCCCTATTCTGTTTTGTGGACCCACGCCACACCTCTGGCCTGTTTTGTGGACCCGGCCCCACACCTCCCTCACCCAGGTCACCAACTTCTCAAGCCAGAAGGCATGTTGACACATGCCTGGGTTCCAGTGCATAAGCCTCGCCGCATTGCTAGTGGTGCGGGCAAACTGTGTGGGGTCTGGTCACCACTGCTGGATACTCTCTGCCACATTCCTCTGGCCCTTGGTCTGCTCTAAGAGGTTGCAGGGTCCTCTGTAGTTGGGGGCCACCCAGGGGGGTTAGTCCAGCAGGAGCTGGATGTTTCTGACTGAGAACCAGCAGGGTCTCACCCTGGGAGGGGACCTACCAGTGAGGCAGGTGCAAGTGCCCTCAATGGCCGGGCTCCCTAGCAGGCCCCCCTCAGCATCCGGGTTGAGGACCATCTCCAGGAGATCAATCCCCATCTGCTTTGGGGGACAGATGTCATCTTGCTCCTGGGGCTATTTGCAGCGCTCGGAGGGCGGGCACTCCATCTCATCGTTGGCCTTGGTGGGCAGGGGAGCGGGGTGGGGGGTGGCAGGCCCCTCTGTCATCTCCTGTGCCTGATGCCGAAGAAGCAGGCACTCTATTTCCACCCCACTGCTCACAAGTCCCATGGGCTGGGATGGGACCAAGGAGTTGCCAGACTCCTCTGGCACCCCCTGTGCCACTGGGATATCCTCAGTCATGGCCTGAGGTGATGGGGTTGGCAGTGGGGCAAGCAGGGTGGGGTCAGGCTCCCTGGCACTGCCAGAGGCAGGCCCTAAAGGGGCTGGGGCTCTTGGGAAGCTCCCTCCTGCCTCTTGTTCTTGGCTTTCTTAGGGTTAGGTGGTGCCTCCCCTGAAGGGGGTGGGCCGGGCTGCTTGGGGTTCACCACCTCCGGGCCCACCACCTCAACTGAGGAGGGGGTGGAGGGAGGTGGAGAGGGGGTTGCGGTTGCTCCACCCCACAGGGCTCCAGCGTCCAAGATGCTAGCCATCCCGGGTGGAACTGTGACTGGAAGGACATCCCAGCCCCTCTATCAGATGAAGCCCGCACACTAGGGGAGCAGCCCCATCAGGTGGGTGGAGAATGGAGGGTGGAGGGAAGCTGAGAGGAGGCCATGGTCACTGCAGCTGGTGGGGTGCCACCATCCAAGGCACCAGCTGCCCCAGAGGGGACCAGGGCAGAAGGGGGCTGGGAGGACATCCCAGGCCCCCTCTGGGTGGCATGCGTGGTGGGCCAGTAGGGGCAGCTCCTGCATTGAGCCTCCCACCTCACCATGCCCATCCACCTTCCAGACTCCACGTGTTTCTTCAGGGGTGCCTAAGCCCTGGTAGACCCCCTTTCAAGCCCCACTGTTGAATCTGGGGGTAACGTGTGCTGCCACCACCCCGAGAAGGGACTGTCTGGGCCCTGTGTCCTTGGGGAAACACAGGCCTAATAGTCCTATGGGTACTCGACCTAATACAAGAACTTGGGGCACTTCCCCAAGTCGGGGGCCAAAAAGGATAGTTTCCCTTAGTCCGCAGACCCAAGGGGCCTCCTAGGCATAATTAAACCCACCCCTCAATAAGTCTCCTACACCAGTCACAAAGAAGAACTTTATTGTTCCCAACAGGATGAGGTAGAATAGGGTAAGAGGTAGAGCACCATCAAGGGATTACCATTGAGCAAAACAGTCTGACTGAGTTAGCTGTTTGATACGCAAATGCATCACTGGGAGCTGACTAGGTCTAGAAACACTGGGAGGCCCCTGCCAGACTCCAGGACAGTTTGTACTGGGGTCTGATAGGGAGCGGAGCCTGCAGACAGACCGGCAGGCTGAGCATTTTGTCCCAATGATGCCATGGTTCCAGCATCCTGGACATATCCCACTCACCTTTCTTGTTCCTCAGGTAGACGAGGAGTCCCAGCGCCAGGAAGATCAGCCCCAACACGAAGCCCCCGACCCCCGTCAGCATCTTGCTCCTGGCCGAGTCTGACTGCACCTCTGTGGAGACAGGAGCCAGAGGTGAAGGGCTTAGTCAGGGCTCCCACCCCCTGCTCACACCCCTGCCCTCCCTGTGGGAAAGGGGTCTGACCATGGACAGCCCTTGTGGGGCTGCACAAAGGGACACCCGTCCCCTCCAAGATCTCAGGGGCTGCCCCAGGCTCCCAGTTCCTTACCCCAGAGCACGGTGACGGGGCCCGGCAGACTGCTGTGCTCCACTTGGCAGGTGTAGACGTCCCCGCTCCGGGGGGTCATTTCCAGCATCGCCAGGATCTGGAAGGTCCAGTCTCCGTTCTGCATCAGCTCCGTGGACACCACTCTGGCCGTCTGCTCCTGCCCATTCTTCAACCATTTCACCTCAATCCCGCCAGGGTAAAACCGCATCACAGAGCAAATCAGTGTGTCTGGGTGGGCCTGGGTCCCTGATTTTGTTGGGGAGACTTTCACCTTGGGCTTCACTGGGGGGGAAAGAGATGGAGAGAATGAGCTGGGAGAAAGAATGATTCCTCCATCAGGGAACGTTTTCTTCCTCCAACCCCTGCCTGTCTCAGTTTCTCTCACCCCCGACCCTTGAATTTACTTAATCGTTACTTGGGTGCCACTATAAAACCACTGTTTTCTCACATGCAGTACACATTCTTTTCCCCAAGAACAGCTAACAGGGCTTTGCCATGTAAATCTTAACTGAGGAATATGGTAAGAGCAGTTTCCGAGCAAATGTCTAAGTCAAATCTGCAGGGACTTTCAAGAAGAAGAGCAAGTGGGAGCCTCCCTGCTGCTACGTGGTTACTTATGGTAAGGAAATGTTTTTTTCCTCCCCCCTGCTGCATGTTGTTGCTGCTGCATTCTCTGCTACATGTTTCATTGAAGGATGTCTAATATTTTTATAATTAAAGCTAAACTTTAATTGGAGTTTCTTTTTTTTTGTTGCAAATGACCTGAATCCAGAAGTATTTTTCAAGGGCTCTGGATTCCCTTTTCTTTCAAGATGTCAAGGGGAGACCTCTCCATTTTGGAGGCCAAGCTCTATGGCTGCGGCACCAAGTGTCCTGTCCAGGGCCAATGGCTTCCAGCTGTGGACACCCAGAGGCTTTACGTGGGAGTGCCGGAGTGTGGCAAAGATATGCCAGGGTTGGGACCTGGCCCTGTCCCCACGAGACCCCATCATGTGTCTCATAAGCAGATGTTCGGGTTTCCCATTTGCTGCAGAAAAATGTGGATGTTCTCCTTTAAAGAGAAAAGGTGGTCGGGTAGAGGTGCAGCCCCGCATGCAAGTCCCCCTGGTCTGCTACTCCTCACCCTGCTGGGGGCGCGGCCTTACTCCATGGTGGCAGGGCTGGTGCGGAGGTGTTGGCAGCAGCGGCAGCAGTGAGTCTTGCCACCCTGCTCCACCCTCCTGTGCCAGGTCCCACCCGCTGGGCCACAAAGGCAGCTCCTGCCTGGTGGTGGTCCGGCCAAGCTATAGCCTCACGCCCTGCTGTGGGCACACAAATCTGGGGGGGCATGTCCCCCCATGACACCCGAACTCATCACCTATGCTGTTGCCTATGGTTGGGCACATCCTCTGCACCATACAACCCCCTTCCCAATGTATGGGGGCGGCTGCAACCTGGGGGAGGGGGAAGTGGATTGAAAGTGAGGGGAACCAGCAGGACTGAGGTGCCTGGTGGGTTGCCACGAGAGAGGGGAATTGGCAGGGATGCGGGGGCTGTGGGTCAGGAGTCTGGGGCACCAGTGTGGATGAGGGACAGTGGTTCAAGAGTGAGGGGCACTGGTGGAGATGGGGAGGTGCAGGTCAGGAGTGAGGGGCATCGGCATGGCTAGTGGGCTGTGGGTCAGGAGTGAGGGGCACTGGTAAGGATGGTGGGCTGTGGGTCAGAAGTGAGGGACACTGGTGAGGATGGGGGGTGCAGGTCAGGAGTGAGGGGTACCAGCATGGCTGGGAGGGCTGTGGCTTGGTAGTGAGGGGTAGCAACATAGCAGGGCTGCTCAGCAGCACAAAGCAGAGGGGTAAGGGAGAGGGGGCACCTGGACCCACATCTTGGTGAGTGAAGGAGGCAGGGAAAGCTCTGATTTTCCATGATCAATGACCAAAATCAAATGCCAAAATATAGAGGCATTTAGATGTCATTTCATTGTAATGACTGAGGCACTGGCTGGTTTCCAAATTGGTTTAAAATAGTAAATATCTCAATAAACCTTGTCTGCAGCTGACACCTCTATATACAGCGGAGTTTCAGTTTAGTCATGGAAAAATGTGGATTTGGGGTTTTTTAATCACAGAAGTTGGGATGTTGAAAAGCACTGGACCAAGCACCGACCCCCTGAGGGACACCGCTGGCCACCTCTCGCCAGGACGACACAGATCCATTCTTAAGAACTCTCTGGGTCCTACCTCGCAGCCAGTTTCCTACTCACCTAACCAGCAGTTAAGCCCATAATCCTCCAATTTTGCCATGAAAACATCATGGGATACCAGATCAAAGGCCTTTTGGAAGTCTAGGTGTACGATGTCGACCATTTCTCTCTTATCCAAGTGGCAAGATAACAGGTCGTAGAAGGAAATAAGATTGGTAAGACAAGACCTGCCCACGATGAAGCCATGCTGGCTGTTGTTCAGAATCCTACCTTCTGCAAGCGTATCACACACAGACTCCTTGATGATTTTTTCCAGGGTTTTCCCTGGGATTAAAGTTAGGCTAATTGGCCTATAGTTGCCCAGTTGAAGATGGCCACAACATTCTTCCAGTCTTCAGGGACCTCCCCCAAGCACCATGAGTTTTGGAAGAGTTTCACCAGAGATCCCACAATGACTTCAGCCAGCTCTTTCTGCACTCTTGGTCGAAGTTCATCTGGTCCTGCTGACTTATACATGTCTAAGTTTTCTAACTGATCACCTACCAGCTCAGTGTCAATAGTAGGAAGGTGGTCAATCCCACCATGCCCACTCTGAACCTTATCTCACATGATTTTCCCCTTAACCAGCTGTCCTGAGGTATTAAGCAGTAGACTCATGCTTCCATGTGTTTTCCTTCTGTACCCTATGTACCTAAAGAAAGACTTCTGTTTGTCCTTGATTCCCATTGCTGACTTAAATTCAGTTACTGCCTTAGCTTTTCTAATCTCCCTACAAGTGCAGGCTGTTGTTGTATAGTCCTCCTTGTGGACCGTCCCAAGTTTCCGTTGTCTCTATGCCTGTTTCTTCTTTTTCAGGAGGACCATATCCCTATTAATCCAAGAGGGTTTTCCCACCTTTCTGCTACTTTTCCTTCACAAAGGAATGGTGTTTTTTTGTGCTTCAAGGATAATGTCCTTGAGGAATGACCACTCTTTATGTACTCCATTCACCTTTGGTCTCTGGTCCTGCATCGCATCCCCTGCTATTGCCATGAGCCTGTTGAAATTCACTTTGTTGAAGTCCAAAACTTCAACCATGCTAGCTGATTTGTCTTCCTGGTGACAGAGAGTGAACACGATGATTTTGTGGTTGCTGTTGCCCAGGGTACCCTCTACATTCAAGTCACTCACCAGATTGTCTCCTTTGGCCAAGACCAAGGCTTCGGGAGCATTACCCCTGGCTGGCCCTTGCATTTCCTTAGTTAGACAGAGTTCTTCAATACACTTCAAAAAGCTACGTGACCAATCTGAATTATCCGAGTGTTCCTCCCAAGAGCTATCTGGGTAATTGAAGTCACCCACGATGACCATGTCCCTTGTGTGCAGCTTCTGTCAGTCTTCAAGAGAACTCAAGTTCTTAAGAGAACTCAAGAGTTAGGTTTCTCTGACTGACCCACCCCCATCCCTCCCCATAGTTTGACCTAGAGGGTTTTGAGCCGCTCTTCTTGGGAGCCAATATCAGCCTCCAAGGAGATGTACTGCTCCCTCACACAGATTTGATTAGTTGATTTGGATCACTGTCCTGACTCAATTCAGCCAAATCTGAATCTGAAGATTTGATTCTGAATCAGAGAATCAGCGATTCAGCCATAGACACAGCTTTCAATGTTTTTTCTATATACCTTGAGGTATCAGGTGCGGCTCATGAATGCTGAGATGCTGGGGCACACGGAGCATCCCAAGGGAGCATGGGGAGCTCCCCAGCATGCTCAGCAGTGGACCCAGAAATAGCCCAGAAGCACTTCCAGTCCACTTCCAGGCCCACCAGGACATGTGCTAGGAACCAACACCCCCCCAACACCCCCATCTTGGCAATTGGTTGTGGTGGGGGCCTGCTCTGGCAGAGATTCACTGCCATTTGATTCCTGATTGATGCTCATTTCCCCTAACAACTCCCACCATCAAAAGGAACGTAGCAGCCATGGGCTGAGGGAAACACCAGCTGCTGTTAGGAGACTCCGGGGGAGCCTGACTTTGCTGCATGGGGCTGTAAACCCACATGGCTTCAGAAAGAGATCCAGGGAAATGGAGGTCTGAAAAGGAGGGCTTAACACACCGCAGGTACTGGTGAGACAATTTATTGGTCAGAAACACTGTCATCCCACAAAAAGGCAGAAAGCTGCTCTTTCCCAATCCCAAAGGAGTGATCCAGAGGAGTAGCAGGAGCAATTACAATAGCACAAGCTCCAGCCCATGTTTCTATGCACCTGATCCAACCCCCACCTGCTTCTATCCAACAACCCCAAAGGACACACTGGGACCCCAGGCCACTCCTACCTACAAGTTCAGAGACCCCCCAGGACCACCCTGGCCCAAGGGTAGAGCACGTGTTCCCTGGGTATCACTGGGCTCCTCCATCCTGTCCTTTCCTAATAACACGCTTCCACTGCTCAGGCTGAGGGTGATAGTGGTCCTTCCTGGGGCATACTAGCTTAAGTTGGGGCCCACGGGAGTCTCATTCTAGAGGGCTGTGACAACTGCTGGAAATGGCCTTGTTACAGCTCCCCGTGTCTCACATCAGAGTCCCCTGAAGGTCCCCCCAAAAGCAGTAGCATTTCTGAGTGCAGATGTGGTGCAGGCTTAGGCAGATAAAGGGTTAATTCTGAGGAGTCATCCCCAGGGATCCATGTGAGGATGGAGGGAAAGTGAGAAGAGCTCCAAATACAGGGACAGGTGCCAGGAGACGCTGGGCAATGCAGGTCCCAAAGCTGCAGGATCTAACTGAGGAGCGCTGCAGGGAGAGAGGGGAGACATCAGCACAGGGCAGGGACTAGCGGCACTGGGGAAGGGCCACGGGGGGGATCTGACAGGCGCCAGGGCCTCCCTAGAGGCTTGTCTGGAGCCTCCGGGTGGGGAGATGCTTTTGCAGGGCCCAGGATGCTCTGACCATGGGAGTAGCTCTAGGTTTCACCCAAATGGCACTAATGAGGGAGATGGAGACTCCTCCTCTTCCTCACTGCAAATGCTCCATGTTCCAGTTCCCACCCATGCTGGGCTGGGCAAGTGTTGGGGTGAAAGGGCAGGGGCAGCCGCTCGATGGACTCCCTGTACAGCCTGTGGTCCCTGAGGGGGAGGGGGCTTCATAGGGGTAGACTGAGATGGAAATTACCTGTTGGCTGGGGAACGGGGTGGCCTGGTTGGCCTGGAAACCAGGGAGAAACAGGGTAGGAGTCTCACCGGAGGCAGCCCCTCTGAGAGATCAGAGATCCTGCCCTAGCCCTGAGGTGCAGAGCAGACCCCATTAGGGACCCCACATCCACCATTAAAATCCCAAATGATGGTCTCACCCAAACAGGGCTGGATATAGGGATTCACTGTGTGCACGTGTAGATATTTCCCTGAACTGGATTTACCACTCTGTGCTTGGTCTCTATTCCCAGACAACAACCAGCGAGGATGAATTCAAGCAGGGTCTCACTTGTGTGAGCCACAGTATCAGCTAGGAAGGTGTGTCTGCATCTTCACTATATGACCGAGGACAGGCAGGGAGATACGGGAAGAATCAAGTGTCAGGAACAGCCCTAGACCAGACCACGGCTGTGCACATTTTGGAGGAGCCCTTGCTATGTTTTTCTTTTCCACTAAAAACAGCAATTGAACATTTAGGGAAGAAGGAGGTGCCGAGGGGTATCAACAATAAGGAAACTAATTCTGATAAGCACGGATGCAAAAGAAAATATACTATCCTTTCATACCACAGACACTTTTCCTCAAAAAAGAAGAAAAAATCCCCACCTGCTGGAAATTGCAGTGAGCTTTATATGTGAGAAATATGGTAAGAACAGTTTCCACTAGTTCCCAGGTAGGCAGGAAAGCTTCATGGGCCCCACAGGGAGCAGAGCCAGGAGCAGTGCTTTCCCCTTTCTGCTGCTGCTCCTCATCTTCTGACTGCAGGAAAGGTCTGTTATTCTTCCCTCTGCTGTTCACAATGCAGGGGGACATTTTCTCCCTGGGTCTGTCATAGGTGAGACAATCCTTCCCCTGTTCCACATCCCTCCCTGACTGTCTGGGCTAAGGGTGAGACCAGGACAACTGACACCTGCAGGGCTGAGGATCTACATTACATTGCAGTGAATATAGTCAGTCTTACCCACCAGCTGCCAAAGTTTCCTCTGCTGGAGCAATAAGGTCAGAGACAAGGGCAGCTGAGATTAAGGTCTGCTGGGACAATAAGTTTTGCCAGGGGAAAACCTTGGTCATCCCCAGCAGACAAGCAACAGGACAGAGGAAAGAAGTTCGGGACAGAAAGCTCCCCAATACCTCAGCCCCATGAAGTCCCACAGTGGGTTACACCCAGGTGCCCCCACCCCCCTGGGACTGGCACCGAACCCAGGGTCACTGCCTTGAAGCAGAGGAGAGGAAATGCCCAGAGTCAAGGCAGGGACAGCTCTGCCTACCCAAGACCCCTGCTCTGCCCTGCCCCTTAGAGGAGGGAGGGACAGTGAGATCCAGCCCCAGCCCCAGGAGGTGAGAAACTGGGAGTCCCCTGCCAGACTGCAGGGCAGTTCATTCTGGGGTGTGAGAGGGAGTGGAGCCTGCAGGCAGACCGACAGACCGAGCTTTTTGCCCCAACGATGCCTTGGTTCCAGCATCCCAAGAGAGGAGCTGGATAGAGAATGGGGTTTCCTCTGGGCCTAGCTGGCCCTGTGCACCCAGCTGGCCATGCAGAGCACCAGGGTGGTCAAAGCCACTTGCAGTACAGGGTCTTGGACACCTGGACCAATGGTTGGAGCAGGAGTGGGAGCGGGGAAGTGGAGCACCCTCATTCCACATGCTGAGCCTGTACAAACTCCCACCAGGAGCTGGTGAGGGGGCTGGTGAGGGGCTGGTGAGGGGCCTTTTCGGAAGCATGGCACTGTGGAGGGAGACTGTGGCCCAGGCAGCCCAGGACTTTGGGGAACGGGATGAGTTTTTTGTACTTCACAACCTCCATGGAGTGGACCGCAGACACCCCGCTCCCCGCAGCAGGACACTCACTTGCAGGAGACAGGAGGAGCAAGGACTTCTGCAGGGACATCCAAGGGCCACATCCAGCTGAGGAGAACCTGCCCTCTGGGCAGGGATGGGAGCCTCTGGCTTGGCCTGGCCCCATGACTTTCCAGTCTCTGTCCAGGACTCAGGCAT